CTAACCATCAAGACTATTTTGTAAATAACCATACACTTCACAGTAGGCCTGTACAAGATTTTTTTGGAATAAGACCCTTAGTGACACCTCTGTTGAAGCATATAGCCCAGGTTATTTCAAACCACATGCAAAACATAAATTTGTTTCCTCCGTACAGTTTCCATCACAGAGTACTCCCACCCTTTCCTCCTGGGTAAACTCCCCAATCAACTTCACCAGCTCATTTGATACATCTCCCAATAAGTTTAACTATCAAATTACCGAGCTAATGAAGAACATCCAATCCCTCACATCAAACTCATCTTACACTCGCGAGGGTTACGACGACTTTATCCGAAATACGCTCACCCATTTTAACTTAGTAGGCCACTTGCTTAATATATGTCTTATCAACGCTCGATCGATCTGCAACAAAAAGACGGATTTAGCCCTGTTTGTATCCATATATCAACCATCAGTTATTATGATATCTGAAGCATGGACTAACAGTAATATTTCCGACCGAAGCATATCTCTAGATAACTATTCCCTATATAGAAGCGATAGATTGAATGGACGAGGCGGAGGATGCCTTATTTACGCTCACTCTAGCCTGAACTCACTGCTATGTGATATGCCTGAACTAAACAAACTGAAGGATTCGGTGTGGATTGTATTAAAGCCGTCGAATTCCGTTACCTTACTGCTCGGCTGTGTTTATCGTCAACCTAACGCATCAATAGATGAAATAGCAGTATTATCGGAGGTATTCACGCTAGCATCATCCCTCTCATTCACAGGCGAGCTCATTTGTGGTGACTTCAATATGCCCGAAATTTCTTGGCTGCCAGTCAAAGCGCCGAGACGTTATGAATCATTTATTGAATGTCTAGAGCTTGGACAATGGACTCAGTATGTTGATAGCCCTACCAGACATCAAAACATCTTAGACTTAGTCTTCACCAGTGGCCTCATCCCCAATACTTTGTATATTGGAAAAAAGTTCCCAGGTAGTGATCATAACATTGTCATATGCAGCCTTAATGTAAAAACCACAACCGATAGAAGTAAAACCGTAACACTTCGTAGAAACTATCGCAAGGTTGATTGGAATAACTTCCACAATTACCTAAGAAGCACTGATTGGAGAACTTTCTTTACCTCAAACAATACCGACACATTAACCAATATATTTTATCACAACATCAAAAGTATCATCAACAACATCGCACCTTTAGAATACTGTAAACCTACGTTCTCCAAAGATCTCTATATACCGGTCAGTACAAGAAGACGTCTTCAAAGACATTATACTCGATTCCACAACTTAAATGACTTTTCCTCTTTAGTAACGATGACAGAAATACTTGTCCGAACAGAGGCAATAAGTAAACAAAAAGCAGTAGCACAGGAAAAACGTGCAGTTGAACTTAATAATAACTCCTCTGCACTCACCATACTACTCCAAAATAAACTTAAACGCTCTAAATCGAGAGGGAGTATATTCATTAAAGACAAACAAGTATACGAAGATCCCAAACTTATCACAGAATTATTTAGTGAACATTTTTGTTTCTCACTAACTAAAGAAAAACCATTTAATGATTCAGAACCAATCCCAGTAACTCCCTGTGAAATTACTAATGTAGAATTCAATGTACAAAATATCTCCAAGGCAATCAGTACATTGAAACGCTCCTACACTGATGGACCAGATGGTATTCCACCTAGCATGCTAAAACGTGGAGGTGATGATGTGTGTTTTGCTTCTCAAACTATTCGCGATATCACTCTCTTCAGTGTGTTACCCTACTGCCTGGAAAACTACACATATCATTCCCAAAATTAAAACAGGACCTGAAGCAAACGTTGAAAATTACCGGCCTATAAACATAACTTCAGTGGTATCCAGAGTGATGGAAAAAGTAGTTAAGGCGGCTGTAGTCCAACATCTATTAACTAACAATCTCTTGTCGACCTCCCAGCATGGATTTCTTAGGTCCAGATCATGCGATACATGCCTAGTAGACTACCTGAATGATATAACTCTGAAACGAGACAGCGGACTCCTTGTATCAGTCCTATTCCTAGACTTTAAGAAAGCCTTTGATAAGGTCCCACACAAAAGGCTACTCATCAAACTAAAGTCCTTTGGAATACACAACCCACTGTACTCATGGTTTGCTTCGTTCTTAACAGAACGTAAACAGATGGTAAAGTACAATGACTGTCTCTCGTCCCCTAGACCAATCACCAGTGGAGTCATCCAGGGAAGCGTATTAGGGCCACTTTTGTTTCTTATGTATATAAACGATATATGTAACACCATAGAATTTGGGAAACCGTACTTATATGCTGATGATCTCAAAATAGTATACAGCTATAAGCCTGAGACACTAAGCGAAAGTGTATCCCAGATCCAAAGGGACCTCAATAACTTAACTATATGGAGTGAAAAATGGCAATTACCATTTAACCTCAACAAGTGCGGGATCATGCACTTTGGAAAGCATCCCTATAAACCGCGACTTCGCTTAAATGAATGTATAGTCCAAACACTCGAATCAGTACACGATTTAGGAATTAATTACACAGGAAGCCTAAACTTTGAAGAACATGCCTCCTCTATTATTTCTAAATCTAGACGGCTAATTGGTTTTATGATGAAAAACTTTTTCACAACAGAGGGTAAACTTACTCTCTACAAAATATGTGTACGACCCACCCTTGAATACTGCTCTTTTGTCTTCTCTAATATGAATATCGCAGACAAGATAAGAGTAGAAGATGTTCAAAGACATTTCACACGTCAATTACTAGGATGTAACTCGAATCTCGATTACACAGACAGATGTAAGCATCTATCTTTAGAACCTTTATGGCACCGTAGGCTAAAACACAATTTAATATTTCTCTACAAAGCGATATATGGGCTCTCCTTTCTTACGTCCTGCCCGACTACCACCCACGACCCAGCCTATAGACTTAGAAACAACGCATATACACTACTTACCGTAAAACACCAAAAACAAATGCGTTGTAAGTTCTTTACAGTACGGTACAGTTTATTGTAGAACAGGCTGCCAATGCCTATCCGTAACTGTGATACGTTTACCAGATTCAAAAAGCTAATAACCCTATTTCTAGACTCCAAAGAGCTTCAACATTACCTTGAACTCCCGCCCACCGATGAGGCACTTTATTACGGACCGCCTAGTATCTAGAAAGAACAAAATTATAACAAGTTCGACTGTTACTAATCTGAATATAACCAAATCACAGGATATATGGCTTATCCTTTCCTATTATTCATTGTTTATTAATCATGATTTCATGCTCCTAACCCTAGCTTTCAGTCCCCAAATCTCTACAGGTTAAATGTACATTATTCTTCCTAAAAGTCATGCTTTTTTTTTCTACTGCAAGTAGACAGATGGCTCAATCTTATGGATGCTGATCTACTAAGGCCGATCATTCAAAGCTCAAAATTTGGCCACAAAGTTTTGTGAGTTTCTCAATGTTTTATTTTTCTCACCCTAAAGTCTTTTTCTTTTTTTTCTACAATTTTATACCCTCTCATATCTTTTGATTTACTATTAATCCTTACTTCTTTAAACCATTAGTTATTTTCATAGCAGTGTGATATACTATATGGACATCTAACCCAAAAAAAACTTTTCAACTATCTGATTTGCTTGTAACATGGACCTAGTAGAGACAGTGTATTCCAACTATGTGCTTTGATTAAAGCATTACTCATACTTACCACAAACGTAAGAGAGCCTAACATCACAAAAGGAGGGAGGGTGGCGTTACTGACCAGCAAACATAAAGGTGGAGAGATAACTTCAATCCACCCATGTCTGTAGGGCAGAACATTTTGTTTATTTACGGCTCCTTATGGTTTAGTGGGATGTCACGGACTTATGGTATTGAAGCTGATTTATCACGCAAAATACCTCTTTAAATCGTGTTACGAACGTTGAACTGGTTTCACTTCCTACCCAGTAATCCTATTACAAGCAAACTAGACATTTCGCTAATATACGAAGCCTACTCAAGACCCTATAATACCTGGAAAAAAAACAAATAAAAAACGAGAGGGGCTCTAATAGCTTCGATAATAAAAGGAAGACAGCCATTTGTATATCACAATACTGTTTCTAGCACTATATTTAATTTTATAATCACACATAATCTTATACTCTCAGCTCTTTTCCGAATCGCCTCCATTTGTCAGTTGTATGCCCACTCACACCTTGCTAAAGCTTATTTTCTTTAACCTATTAAAATGCTCTTTCTTAACAAGTACCTTAATAAAAGAAAATTAGACTGAGTAATCATACCTTGAACATTCTTACATGAATATTGGCTACTATGCCTCTCGGCAAGGTATAAACGGTAATCCCTTTCAAATCTGTCCGCCGTTTCGTTTCAACGACCTTGAACGCGCTGACTGGGAGCGGGCATTCCGTATTTCAATTGCCGTGTGTGTGTTGGGTCCTATGAGTATTAAATGTTTCCATATATAAGTCATCTTTTGATGCATAATAAACACTAAATAACTGCTAAGAGCATTAACTGAGTATTTTCTGTTTTGTAGTGCACACTTTAGCTCTGTTGTTCCTTCGAAACTTGATCTGTGGTCCTAAGTGCTGTAGTGAAAGTCAACAGCTATATATAATTTGTTGATAAGGTCCAGAAAACAACGTAAGAAAGATAAAATAACGTAAAAGGTTATAGATGCGCATAGTTTTCGTGAGTTAAGACGAAATGTCAACTGAAGGGTAAGTCCTAAATATTTGTTGTTCTTCCTTCAGTTAATTTTTTTCAAGGAATAACCTTTTTTTAATAGCTATTGTATGTTGTCTCTAGTGCTTCATGCTCAGGTGAAATTTCAGTGAACGTAAGCGACGCGTTCCAACGTATTATGCTGAATAAGATTCGGAAGCTGGATTGAATTAGATAATGCGCTAAAGGATTTCCATAAAGTATGATGAGATAAATCTATGTTTTCTCAGATGACCCATACACACTATGTTCACGCAGAAAGTAGATTGTTGAAGGATGTGAGATATAAATACTTGTTCGTAGTGTTTCGTTGCACGTTTGGTCGTAAACGTAAATCAGAAGGTCTGAATGTGATTAAAAAACCGTGAGGACTCTAACTAATGTGTTACCTTTAAGGTCTAAATTTTTAAATTGCCAATCGATGTTTCGCGTAAGATTGGAGGGTCAACAATACGTTATAAAATCTTACGACATGACTCACAACCATCCGTGTACTAGTTCGTGGATGGTTTGTGATCCGTTGAGTAGACGATTGTCATCAGAAGAAAAAGAAAACTTGAAACCAGTTATATTGCACTGTCAGTCGACGGACGAAGTTATCGAAAGTATTAAGGAAAGAACAGGTATATATATATATATACATATATATTTCAGGTTGGACTCGGAAGCAGGTATTGCAGATGATGCGACAAAACGGTCAAATTAGAGAGCATGCAGAAAATGGATCTGTTACGGCGGTATGCTTCAGCAGTTATGATCAGATACAATGCAATTGTAGCACGTTTAATATGTGTCGATATCCGTGCCGCCATCTCCTGCTGGCATATATTAAAAGACGAAGTCTAACAGGTAAGCTATTTAAATTATAAAATATAAACTGCATAGCTCATCAACTTCTTAGGTGTTGCTGTAGATGGAAATTAGACAATACGCACAATTTACAAAACAACACAGTAATTTCATTACGGAGACGAAGTAAAGAATATATACAACTTCAACGGCTCCAAAGAATGTGCAAACAACGAATTGTTGAGAAATATGGTGAACGCTTCGCGAATCAGGTAAAGAGAAGGGTCTACAATTTTTACTTAAGAATTATAAACAGCTAGACAGCAGGTTTACGATTAACAGTTCTTTGTGGCTTTATTTTATACCACTATTTATACAACTTGTAAACTTATCTTTCCACTTTAGTAGTCATGAAAAATCAATAAACTTTTTCTCATTTTTTATTTTTGTCTTCTTCATACTTTCATGGGGAGGTTTACCAATCGCTTTAACGAATAATTGTGTGTGAAAATTAAGAATTTGTACTACTGTATTAGTTACGAACTGTCGTTAGAACTTAGCGTTATATCGTTGTTCATTGTCAGGAACAATAATGCGACTTCCACGTAAAACCTTACAGATTAAACAACCGCCTTACATATTTTCCGTTGTCAGATTACGTCCATTATCAAGTTAGTATTAGTATGGGACTAGACAATTTCATGCAGCTAGTTCCTTGATAAGATGGATTACGTAATCCTTAGACCACCCTTCCACTCACACTTCTTTGCTAAATTATGTTAACTCTTCAGATTGTCTTCACTTATCTTATTAGTTCTTAATTCAATGATTTATTCATTACATCTAGAATTATCACACAATTTATCTTATATGCTTCTGAGCTTCACTCGACTATTACACCACCCATCCTTTATGTTCCCTTAAGTCTAACACCAAATGACCTTTGACCTGTTCAAGCATATACATATGTATAGTTATTATTGATAACCTAGGTCATTCCAATTCTTTGCTTTCTATTATCTTTCATACTATTTCTTCCCTCAATCTTAAATTATAATGCATATTCAGTTGTATGCAACTTATAAGAAACCACGAAATGTAATGCAGTCACATGATTGTGCGTCAATATTTGTTTCGGCTTTATTTAGACCATAATTATACAAACTTACAGGATTTATAATATAAAACACTGCGTATGGTTGTTATATTTATATTTAAATAATTCATTAGATGAATGAGCATAGCAGTAGGCAATATAAAACAGTTATCGTAAACTTGTAAACCGGTTTTCCACACGATCTTCCGTAATCCTAAATTCCATAAGCTTCATACTATTCTGAAAAACAACAAATCCGTTTTGAGACAAACAATTAAACTTTGTTCTCAGTATCATATTCAATAAGTTATTCAAATAGCAAGTAACAGACTGTGCCTATAAGTCTTTTATTAACAAGTAGTGACATTCATTCATAACTTCCTAAGTAACACAACAACTGTATTACCGAAACGGAGTGAAGAGTATATAATAACTCATTTGTGAACCCTATAACAGACACGTCACAAATCAGTATTAACTAAAAAACATGGTTGTGTCACCATTCTCACAAGAAACACCGATCGTTTTATTCATGAAGATTTCGTTCCTACTTGATGTGGCGTTATACACTATTACTGCAGACATTCAGAAAGCCGCTGGACAACACTATAAACGTCAATTGTTACTCACATATTTTTTTTTACGTTACATAATTATGTCACTTCAGTACAAAACAATGGTACGTCTAATGGATATAACTTTTTATGGCTAAATACAAACAAGTTATATAATATTCACAATTTGGTTAACGCTTGATTGCTTTTACTTACATTTTATAAACAACTACCGACATCCATGTTCACCGTCACCGCAATCAAGGAGGTGAACCATATGTAAAAGATTTTACGGTTCATTTTCATGAAAACTCAATCTGTGATGTATTTTTTGACTAGAAACACGGTGAACTTTACTTGCTTGAGTTTGTATTGTTACAAATAACTATATTAAGCTAACTTCAGATTTACTTACGTGGTGAGCAAGAAATACGTCAAACTGCCAATAAATTGGAATAAAAACTATGTTACAAGCACTAGCAATACAGAAATTGATGTGTCATGCAAAAAAGCCTGTTAATAGCTGATAAATAACGACACAAATATCCACGACAATATGTAACGTGTGCGCGAAAATCCCTGGCTTACCCGCTAGTCCGTGCCATTTGAATCCATTGGATTTGTCATTTTTCCCGCCTTTCTCCGCGTAATATGCTGAATATCTATTTTCACAGTTGTCTTGAATTGAGGGCACGGACTAGCGGGTAAGCCAGGGATTTTCGCGCACACGTTACATATTGTCGTGGATATTTGTGTCGTTATTTATCAGCTATTAACAGGCTTTTTTGCATGACACATCAATTTCTGTATTGCTAGTGCTTGTAACATAGTTTTTATTCCAATTTATTGGCAGTTTGACGTATTTCTTGCTCACCACGTAAGTAAATCTGAAGTTAGCTTAATATAGTTATTTGTAACAATACAAACTCAAGCAAGTAAAGTTCACCGTGTTTCTAGTCAAAAAATACATCACAGATTGAGTTTTCATGAAAATGAACCGTAAAATCTTTTACATATGGTTCACCTCCTTGATTGCGGTGACGGTGAACATGGATGTCGGTAGTTGTTTATAAAATGTAAGTAAAAGCAATCAAGCGTTAACCAAATTGTGAATATTATATAACTTGTTTGTATTTAGCCATAAAAAGTTATATCCATTAGACGTACCATTGTTTTGTACTGAAGTGACATAATTATGTAACGTAAAAAAAAATATGTGAGTAACAATTGACGTTTATAGTGTTGTCCAGCGGCTTTCTGAATGTCTGCAGTAATAGTGTATAACGCCACATCAAGTAGGAACGAAATCTTCATGAATAAAACGATCGGTGTTTCTTGTGAGAATGGTGACACAACCATGTTTTTTAGTTAATACTGATTTGTGACGTGTCTGTTATAGGGTTCACAAATGAGTTATTATATACTCTTCACTCCGTTTCGGTAATACAGTTGTTGTGTTACTTAGGAAGTTATGAATGAATGTCACTACTTGTTAATAAAAGACTTATAGGCACAGTCTGTTACTTGCTATTTGAATAACTTATTGAATATGATACTGAGAACAAAGTTTAATTGTTTGTCTCAAAACGGATTTGTTGTTTTTCAGAATAGTATGAAGCTTATGGAATTTAGGATTACGGAAGATCGTGTGGAAAACCGGTTTACAAGTTTACGATAACTGTTTTATATTGCCTACTGCTATGCTCATTCATCTAATGAATTATTTAAATATAAATATAACAACCATACGCAGTGTTTTATATTATAAATCCTGTAAGTTTGTATAATTATGGTCTAAATAAAGCCGAAACAAATATTGACGCACAATCATGTGACTGCATTACATTTCGTGGTTTCTTATAAGTTGCATACAACTGAATATGCATTATAATTTAAGATTGAGGGAAGAAATAGTATGAAAGATAATAGAAAGCAAAGAATTGGAATGACCTAGGTTATCAATAATAACTATACATATGTATATGCTTGAACAGGTCAAAGGTCATTTGGTGTTAGACTTAAGGGAACATAAAGGATGGGTGGTGTAATAGTCGAGTGAAGCTCAGAAGCATATAAGATAAATTGTGTGATAATTCTAGATGTAATGAATAAATCATTGAATTAAGAACTAATAAGATAAGTGAAGACAATCTGAAGAGTTAACATAATTTAGCAAAGAAGTGTGAGTGGAAGGGTGGTCTAAGGATTACGTAATCCATCTTATCAAGGAACTAGCTGCATGAAATTGTCTAGTCCCATACTAATACTAACTTGATAATGGACGTAATCTGACAACGGAAAATATGTAAGGCGGTTGTTTAATCTGTAAGGTTTTACGTGGAAGTCGCATTATTGTTCCTGACAATGAACAACGATATAACGCTAAGTTCTAACGACAGTTCGTAACTAATACAGTAGTACAAATTCTTAATTTTCACACACAATTATTCGTTAAAGCGATTGGTAAACCTCCCCATGAAAGTATGAAGAAGACAAAAATAAAAAATGAGAAAAAGTTTATTGATTTTTCATGACTACTAAAGTGGAAAGATAAGTTTACAAGTTGTATAAATAGTGGTATAAAATAAAGCCACAAAGAACTGTTAATCGTAAACCTGCTGTCTAGCTGTTTATAATTCTTAAGTAAAAATTGTAGACCCTTCTCTTTACCTGATTCGCGAAGCGTTCACCATATTTCTCAACAATTCGTTGTTTGCACATTCTTTGGAGCCGTTGAAGTTGTATATATTCTTTACTTCGTCTCCGTAATGAAATTACTGTGTTGTTTTGTAAATTGTGCGTATTGTCTAATTTCCATCTACAGCAACACCTAAGAAGTTGATGAGCTATGCAGTTTATATTTTATAATTTAAATAGCTTACCTGTTAGACTTCGTCTTTTAATATATGCCAGCAGGAGATGGCGGCACGGATATCGACACATATTAAACGTGCTACAATTGCATTGTATCTGATCATAACTGCTGAAGCATACCGCCGTAACAGATCCATTTTCTGCATGCTCTCTAACTTGACCGTTTTGTCGCATCATCTGCAATACCTGCTTCCGAGTCCAAC